ACTATAAAACTTTGACATAGGTGAAATGACAACAATTGAAGAGAATCCTACAAATAGGGAACTTAAACAATATATATAGAGTACTAGTGTTAACCTTGTGCTTCCCACGGGCTCGTATATATTCTGAATTGCTGACAGCTATTAATGTAATTTTCTTTATTTTAATTTTCTAATAAATATATAACACTCTGTATGTGTTATGGAGTATAAATTTTTTATATAAAGATGTACCCTATATGTTTAAAATTTGTATAATAATGTTTTTTTAGAAATACTAAAATACTACCTTCGTCCTAGTCTCTTTGTCCACATTTGACTTTTGGAATTGTTTATCTAAGCATTTTGACTCATCAAATTTTCTCAATATGTAAGTCTAAATATAGTCATGTGTGATCTTGTTTGATTTGTCTTAACATATAAATTATTAATATATAATTTCTATAATTTTTTAATATACAAAATACAATACAAAATGGATTAAAGAAGTGGATTGGATGGTGTGCCAAAAGGTAAGTGGACAAAGAGAGTGGGACGAAGGAAGTAAAATTAATGATGGATACTTTTAAAAATTATATACCCTGTGTCACAATTTAAATTGTCTGTTTTGGGTTACGATGTTTGACTGAAGTTATTTCGAATGTAATTAATTAGAGAACTGAAGCAAGATTAAAAAGTTAACTTTGCATATTAAAAACTGCATCAAAACTCTACAATCTATAGCTCATAAAACTTTGGATATAATAATAATTATAATTATTATTATTATTATTATTATTATTATTATTATTATTATTAGTATTATTATTATTTGTAATTTTATCCCAACATCAATCAGAGTGTCTTTGCATCAGAGTGTCTTTGCATCATATTATAAGAAGGCATCGCGATTTTTATGGTAATAATCATCACAAAATCTTAAGGATCTGACACGATGATCACAAATACAATCTATAGCTCATAAAACTTCGGATATATACTATACATTGAGGATACTTTAAAGTTCAGATTTTATGATAGAATTACATCAAAAAAATCACCTAAAATTTAACTCGGTAATGGGACAACCTTAACAATCAACACAGAGAAAGAGAAGAAGATTAACGATCCAATATATAACGAATAGATGGAAGAGAAATAGAGAAAGTAGGGGCTTAATTGGATGCGTCGTGCGTACCTTCAACGGGGCCAGACTGCTACGGGATTTGAATGAGATACAGTCTACTCCGTATGTTTATATATGGGTAGGTTACTACGGGAATTTTTTTTTTTAAGGTTTTAGTTCTACTTTGGTATTTCTCCCATTGAGAGAATCCTAATTATTCCCTCTATTATTACTCCAAAAACTTTTCTTTACTTGTTTTTATTTGTTATTTGATAAAATAACATATTCATGTCACCTCTCGTTTTATGTAATTTTTTATCTAACTTTTTAAATATATAATTTTTTTTAATTTTGCACATACAATTAAATAAATTAAATTGAAAAAATAAAGTCGATCAAATTTCATAAACTGAAATGAGAAGAAAGTTTTAGGACGGAGGGAGTATTAATTTTTGGGACTTTACATCCCCAATCTTTGTGAGAATTTTTATTTATTTATACGTTTTAGTCTGATAAAATAAAATATTTTTGTCTCATTTCATTTTGAAAAACTTGTGAAGATCATTATAGGATGAAGAGAATAATAAAATTTTCACCCTATATATTGAGATTACAAGTGTGAATTTTATTAATATCAATTCTATTCTTAAAAGGAAAGAGAAATTGGTCCAGCCGTTTTCCCACCCAAATTGTGAACCGTAGATTAGCCTATTCATCTTGATCAATGGCTGAGCTTAATTTTTGGAAATAAATTAACATTTTTATATATAATTGTGATTAATTTCATTTTCAGAAGTAACTCAACATTTACATGTTTAAAGCACAAAGGCGTGTGCACATTTACCCCCGTACTCTTTAGAAATTATATGTTTCACTCCTGAACTATAAAAATTGCACCGTTTACCGTCGAAGTCCTTGAAAATTGCACGATTTACCCATGCATACTAAAAATGCACCAAATACCCTTGAACAAATTAAATCGTTGCATCGTTGGTCCTAAACTATTAGATAGGGAGTGTGTTGCTTCCACGCACAACAATTGCAAATATGATTCATCTGACGCTTGTGATTTTTCCAAAATACCTTCACCCAAAATTGTCGTCTTTATTTAAATATTCAGGAGTAAACAATACAACTTTCGTAGAGTTTAGAGATATTTGGTGCAATTTTTATTGTTCAGGGATAAAGCGTACAATTAATAAAGAATTCAAGGGTATTTGGTGCACTTTTTAATGTCCGGGGGTAAACCGTGCAATTTTCAAAGAATTCGAGGGTAAACGGTGCACTTTTCTCAAATATTTATTATCAGCAAATCATATTCTTCCTTATCATGTTTAAAGTTAATCAGGCTGTTTAATTAATGGAAATATTCTTGCTTATTAATTTGGAACGATTAAG